ATCATATGCCCATTACACACAGAAGATGGAATCAGTGGCTAGAATGCAGGCTCCACTGAAATGCAGATGAATACTTTGTATGAAACCTATACACCTGCTAGTTCAGTTTTCCTTCTTAAGTTCTTTATGCCATTAGAGTGGTAAGAAATTGGTTTCTGGGAATAAGGAAGTGATCTTACCCCTGTACTCGGCACTGATAAGGCTGCACCTCAAATACTGTGCTCAGTTTTGGGCCTCTCACTACATGACATTGAGGGGCTGGAGCACATCCAAAGAAGGGCAACAAAGCTGATGAAGGGTCCAGAGCACAAGTCTTACGGGGAGCGGCTGAGGGAACTGGGGGTGTTTAGTCTGGAGAAGAGGAGGCTGAGGGGAGACCTCATCGCCCTCTACAGCTACCTGAAAGGAGGTTGTAGTGAGGTGCATGTCAGTCTCTTCTTCTGAGTAGCAAGTGACAGGACAAGAGGAAATGGCTCCAGGTTGCACCAGGGGAGGTTTAGACTGGATATTAGGATAAATTTCTTCACCAAAAGGATTATTGAGCATTGGAACAGGATGCCCAGGGAAGTGGTGGATCAGTTTTATAAAAGACTTTTATAAACATTTGTTTGTCCTTGGTTACCCAGTTTTCCAAGTGCTTAAGTAACTATCGAATAATTCTCCACCTCCAGAGAAACACAGATAGCAGTTGAATTTCTTTGGAGCAATGCACCCTTTTCCATCCTCCTGTTGAGGAGCTGTTTGAATGAACCTAATTCAGAGAAACCCTGCAATAGCTTGTCAGAGCTGCCTAGATAGTTTACTGAATTGCACTTGATGGCAAAGAGTTCTTCTGAAGTGTTCATGATACCTGAAGCAGTGAGAACTATTTTTAATTTTTATTATATTTAGTTTACCTTTCTATTCTGGTCAACTTTCAAAACTGAAATTTTCAGCCCTCTCAGTTGAAGTTTCTCAGTGAATGTGTGTCAATCTCAAGAAAAGTAACATAATTTTCAAAAATGCTAAGCAGTGACTTTATCCAAACAGTTTTTATGAGCTTTCAGTGTAATTTTTGAAGCCTAGATGCTCTTTATAAAGTCAGTTTTTTAACATTAGTCACCAAGGGCTTAAGAGTATCCCTGAGCATCCCTGCATTGGAAACTCTGGCAGCTTCCAGTGATACAGGCATAAGACAAATAGTTGCTATCAACATCATCTGCATAGACTATTATAAAGTGATTTGTTGATCAATTACATACATTGTGTGTATATATATATATATATATATATATATATATATATATATATATATATAAAAAAGTATATATAAAAGCAGGAGGTGAAAGAATTCTATAGCTCTTGTCTTAAAGGCTTTTGTTTTACCAGCTTCATATTCTCAGGGATGATACTGACAGAGACTGAGTGACAATGTATTACCTGTGGTAGTAGATCAAGCCTTCGACTAGTGAAGACTACCGTGAGTTTCGTACATGCCTGGTCACTGCAGAACAGAGGCTTTGGGCTTGAGGGGAATGAAGTGGGGAGCAGTCATAGCAGCTCTGCACTGGGCTGCCTGGATCCAGTGGCAGAAGAGCTATCCAAAGTGAAATTTTGCTGAACCTGCATTTGCAAAGCATCCCTTTGGTTGTACTAGAGCAACCAGCATGGCCACTATACCACTGCAGCTGTTATGGAACACAGAACAGTTGAAGAAAACAGAAAGAAAAACCAAAAAATAGTCTAAGGAGTTGTTTGGAAACCTTTGTGTATTTCTTGCCTTCTGCTCCTGTCTGAAGACCTACACAGAGGTATTTGGTTGCTCATCTTACTGTCTGTTTATCAAGTGGGCAACACAGCACTCTCCCCAACTTAGTAGAATAATCGGGGGGAAAAAATCTACATGGTCATATTGAATTTCCTATATAGATTCTTCTAGTAATTATCAATTATACCTCTGGAAATGAACTGGTCTTGGAGGTTTTTTTATTTTATCCCTTTATCTTCCTCTCTTTCTCCCAAGCTGTATTTACTTGCTTATTTCTATCTCTCCAGTGTGATTCTGTATCTTGCTCAGGGAGTGTAGGTAATTCGTAGAAAATAGGCACTTTACAACAATTCTGTAGTTTTTTACAGTTTTTTGAAGTAATTTTCCCTTAGTAATTTTATTTCAGGTTTTCTATTAAGGTGGCTGATGGCAGACTTATGTGGGAGAGGGATGAGGCCTGTCAATGGATGAGCTTCTAAGTTTCCAGTGACTTTGAGCTTCTTTCCCAATGCTAGGGAGCAGTAAGCTTCTACTTGCGATTGGTTTTCTGAGCATACCACTTCTGAAGGCAGCCATATTGTTGAGGACTGGTTTTGTCATTGTCATGGTAGCTCAATGGCCATGAGACACCAGAGTCATTTCCAGTCTGAGTTAAGGCTTAAGTACCAGAAATGGAAAACAGATAATTGTATAAAATATTTACTTATAAGTATCTGCTGCTTCTTTTCTCTGAAAGATTAATTTTAAAGGCACAATAAGAGCAAGACTATGCTACTATGTAAATATTTTCTTTTTTTATAACACCTCTGGAGGAGCTGGAATGATGGCAACGATGAGAGGGAAATTCTGGGGAAAGATCTTTTCCTGGAGACATCGGCAATGCCTTGAATTATGTCGATCCCACAGGCTGACAGCTGCAAGCACCAGGCACAAAGTGCTCAATAAAGGAGTACATTTAACAGTTTACTTTGGAGAATAGCATTAGTAAGTGAATGAATAAGAATTAGTAAGTAAATTTAACCTTGAAATGGTAACTTTGTATTGAGGTCTCCCAAATGGTAATTTAATATAGCTGAATGTCTTTAGAAGGCTTTATTAGCTTCTTAAGCAGTTAGAAACTGAGGAGGCAATATCCATTCCTTGGACGTAAAAGTAGCAGGTATGAACTATGAAGGCAGTCTTCAGTTGTTCTGCATTCAGTCTGGTCTACTGATGAAGGGATTCTTCTAAAGACCTGAAATACCACCAAAATGCCACTGTTTAATATGCAAAATGTCAACAGATAACAGATGCCCAGGATGCAGACATTTGGAGCCTATTTTGGTAATGGTGATGTAGGAAAACTATGGTTTGAACATTCATTTCTTGGAGTTTTTAAGATGTTAGCCAAACTTGCATCTTTCTCACAGAAGTGGAGGATTCCTGGTTTACCACCTACCATGGTGTCAGGCACTGGAAGAAACTTCCTTCTCTGGAAGAAAGGGAAAAAAATCTGTGGAGTATGATGTTATATCCGTGGTTCCTTAGCCAGCAGGCAACTCTCGCCTACCAACATCCTCGTGATTTGTTTTATCTATTTTTTTCCCCATCTTCAGTTTACTTGGAGACTGTTGGCAAGCAGTGTTTAAGAAATAGGATGTTCTTTATTTACCATGTTCAGTATTACTAGTGTCCTCAGCCTCTAGCAAATTTTAAGAGTTAGAATTCAAACACTTACTAAAAAGATGACCTGATTTAAACAGCATTTTTTTGAAATGCAGCGGGTTGGGGGAATTTTTCTCCAGTCTGAAAAAGCAGATCATCAGTTTACTCACTGCTCTGTCATCACCAGTGCTGAGTGTTTGGGTATTTTTGCTTCTTTTTGAAGACAAGGGAGCAAACTTGTTATCCTGTGCCTCACAGGTGGCTTTCTATTAACAAAATCTCTCCCTTCAGTCAAAAGGAGATGCTTACAAGACCCTAGTTCTGCTGAGACATTCAGGCAAAAGTTTCAGGAAGCAACACTGATCTGTGCAAGGTTTGATGCCCAACCTTAGACACGTGAATCCACATTTAAAACTGCAAGGCTTTCATCCACATCAGTGGATCCAGGCCTCAGAATTACCAACATTGGAGCTTTTCTATGTTAGCAGTTTAATGTTTCACTGGAGCAATGTTCCAACAAGTGCTGCATCTCCTAACAGTGGGGGATTCTGCCTAACTTCACACTACCTTAAGAATAAAATTGGCCCCACATTTTGAAGTAGCAGTCCTTCTGTTTTTCTGCATAATTGCAGTTCTGATATCAACCAATTCTTGTTTTATTCTTTCACACATTAGAAGGATTTGATTCTTCAGTTTGGGCTTTTTGTTTTGCACCCTTATGAACTCAGAATTCATGTTGCTTGATATAGCACCAGCACCTATAGTAGGAACACAGGGAAATGAGTGCATAAGAACCAAGGGAGACATGGTCTGGCTTACCAAAACAGACTGTCAAAATATCAAAGACATGGCTGCGTGATCTATTTCTCTGCTGCCTCCCCTCTCCACTGTGGCCACAAACCACCTGGGTACTTCAGAGATGCCAGATGAGAAATGGGTCCTATTAATATCGATGACTCCTGCATGACATTAAACAGTTATGCTTTCCTCAAGTGAGATACCTCTTCCTGCTTTCTCAGGTCATGGGGGCAAAATGCTGATCCTTTACTTCCCAAGAGTATTCTTAATGATTTCTGATGTTAATTCTTAATGATTTTTCTCCTAACTTGCAAATGATGGCACAGATCACGTGCTGGGTAAGACATAGTCATGTATGCTGATACCTAGAAGGTGAGGAGATTTTGAGACTTATGCTTCTCTCTATATTAAAAATACTTGTTTGCCTAAACCTTGTTTTTATGCTGCCAAGCAGATATATTACTGTGGACATGCAACTGGATGTTAGCTGGTACCAGAAAGAGTAAAACCACAGTCGTCTTAATGCTGACAGATTTGTCAGTATTAGAAGAAACAGATGGGTTGGAAGAGAAAGGATTAGAAGGGAGGAAAATTTGAGTCTTCCAGTTACTATTTAGATCAGTTCCAAATGAGAAGAAAAAAGATCCATTGTGCATTTTGAGCGTAAAGTTTTACTTTTCCTTGATGTATAAAACATCAGCTGGTTTCAGTCCAGTATCAGAATGCTTACACAATGAGACAGTTTTAATTGGTCATTTCAGTTTAAATTGGCTAGAGTTATGATGTTAATTGAATTGTTTTCCCTTTGCAGGGACCTCAGGGGCCTCCAGGACAAAAGGTATAGTATAAACAATAATACTGTGAAAGTGATTATTCCTCCTGGTGCCAAATTGTGAGCAGAAAAGGTGAATGGCATTAGCTACTGTACAGTGCATTGAATTGGTTATTTTAGGCTCTGAATTTTGTTTTTGCAAAATGCAGCCCTATAATGTGAGACATCAGATTTCTCATTTCCCCATCATAGGAAGTTCAAGCAATGCAGAGCAGACTGTTTTCAATCTGTCTGCTTAACTTTCAGGTGAAAAGGTCACTATAATTTTCTTATTCATACACTGGTATGACTAGGAAACCAAAGTTAAAACGTTGTGAAAGGTGGGGAGATAGAGTTTCTGATTAAATGCATGTCCTTCCTCAAGTAGATCAGTGCCATATGACTAAAAAATTGACCAGCAGAAACAAAGGACATAGGTGTTGCTGATAAATGGTGCTTGGCTGGCAGTGTTCAGGTGGTCTGCCGGTGTCTTCCTGTTCCTTCCGTAACCTGAGACCTGACTTCCTGGGAATGCTTTCAGCATTATTTACACTCATTAAACCTGACTGCCTTGGTTTGATGGAGTGAGTTTAGGATTTATGGAATTACACCGTTAAAGCAGTTCTAGATATATCAGCAATAACAGCCAGTAAGTGGCACTTTTCCAGCATCTCACCCACACACCACCAAGGCATTTTCTAGTTGATTTCAAAAGATTAAAAAGTTGTATGGAAGGTATTTAATAAAACAGGCTCAATTTGTATAAAGAAAAATTTAAAAAAAAAAAAAGAGGAAAGGAGTAAGTAACATTAACATATGTGAAAAGTGTTTTTCTTCTGAGATAATATTCTTTAAGGTGATGGTTTGCATGCATCTCTTCAAATGGAACATTTTGAACAAAAGAAAGAAAAACCTACTGATATGTAAAAATGTAATCCCACATCATATAAATTGGTGGAATTTTGTCAGCTGTGAGCTATACGCAGTTTGCAGGCTGAAGGAGAGGACTAGCCTTCATGTTTGGCAATGCAGGATTGATGCATTCCAAAGCTGTACTGATATCTAAGTTGTCATTATAAAATTATACTGTAAGACTTAAGGAGGAGGGTATTTTACATGTACAGCATCCACAAAACCCATGAGCTTTTGAATATCTGATAAACTTCTGTTTAGCATGGTAGAATCACCTTTATTTACACTTTCAAACGTGTGTAATAAGAAAAATCAACAGCTATAGAAGACTGTCATCTAGATGTGGAACTGTTATAAATAGGAGAGTTTATTGCGGCTAATGGTTTGATGCCCTCCTGAGCTTTGTCTTCTAGTTTTCTGGAAAAATTATACAAAGATGTGAAAATGGATACTAGGGCCCCTTTGCAATGGCTAGCAATCACAACCATGCATCCAGCAAAGAGAGTCAACAGGAATGGGATGCCAGTGTATTATTGCTTACTGATTTGCAGCTCTGTTATGAGCTGGAGCTTCCTGGGCATTCAGACGTTTTTTCAGGAGGTTTTTTGAGACCTTCATGAGTTGCTTCCTTTTCTTGTTTCACAGGATTTCTCAACTCTATTAACTGACAAACTGCACCAGTTTTGGATGCGTTCCCTTTGGGTGTTGGTGCCCTTTGACTAAACGATTTCTAGTGAAACCTTTAACCAATATGAATAGAGGGGGAAATGTCATGCACTGATTCGTAGGACAGAGAGAAAAGGGCATGAAGGGTTTCACCAGAGTGCTTGTTTTGTTTTAAGGGTCCTGGTGAACTGCATGTTTCGCTGTTGACACAGACTCTGCCTTTCCCAGTCCAGTGGCCTCTTTTTAGGGTGTCAACCTTTTGAACAGCTATCACGTTTATAAATGAAAACTAAATAGAATGCTGTCAGTTTCCTTGCTGAGCAACACCATTATTAGATATGAAGAGGACAATACTATGTAAGCACATGCAGTTTTCCTGCTTTCCTCATGCCTCAGCTTTTCACTGAACAGCCCTACCAACAGTTGCACAAGTTCCTGCAGGAAATTTGTCCATCATACAGAAACTTACAGTTTGAGAGCTTTGTGAAAAGATGCCTCCAATGTTACAAGTCAATGCTAATGTTTTGCTTCCCTTGTTTGTCTGCTCCTTGTGTTTGGCCTGTGTTGGCTTTTAAAATTTGGTTGCAGTAATACTGATGCAATATAAAAGGGTGTCTGTAAGTTGCACTGTCAGGCTGAATTGTTGCAGATTATCTCTTAAAACCCTTAAAATAAACTGGCCAATACCAGTTATTGAAGCATCCCTCTTGAAGCATTAATAGCTTTGTTCAGGTGCTAAGTTTGATTGTGTAGAGTCAGTCTTAAAATTTATCAAGAGCATTAAATGGAATTGCATTTTAATTCTTACATTTCTTGTGAAGCATCCACAGCATTACAAAGCAACCATCAGCCTGAAGCTTGTTTCTGGAAGAGGCCATACAGTGAGACAGTCATTAAAATGTACAACAGGAGAACATGTCTAATTAGTATAAATTCCTAACTGAAAAGAGATCTCAGCTTGGGTAAACATTATTTTTTGAAAAATTTATTGCTGTTACAATAAGCAAGCATTCACCATAATTTCTAAGTACTGTATTAAGAGATGAAAGGTTTCATGACCTGTTTAATTTGCTAAACATCGGCATCTGTTTCCCACCAGGGTTCTGTTGGAGTGCCTGGTGTTCCAGGGAGAGACGGACAAGTGGTGAGTTCACTGACTTTGTCAGCACTGCCATTATTTATGTAGTTGATTAAAGCTACTTAGGACTTGTTCACATGAGCAATATGCAACCTTCCATCCAGAGCTGTGGTTTCAAATTGGCTTTATGGGAAAGACTGTACAATCTGGTTTGTGCTCTGAAGTAATTTTTTTTCAGGTTTTACTTGAACAGGCAACAAATGTAATTAATTAAGCTGAAAGTTTGATGTCCAAATTTGATGATGACTGATAGGTTCCAGAGAGAAATTTGTATTAGTTGTGTGCAACTTTAGACAGTATACTTACAAACTAATTTTTTCTGCAGATTTTTTTTTCTTTTTGTTAAGTCAGTCCCGTGAATCAAACAGTTATGTTTATATTGGGTATTTATACAGTGCCAATACATTGTTAATACAACCTATAAATAGAGAATAAAAAGAGGCTGGAGACACAGGTGAAAAATAATGAGAAAATAAAGTTGGGGACAAAAATGTAGAGAAATAAATCAAGCAAATATTCTTGAACACAACAAGGAGTAAATGCTAACTCAGACAAGTCAGTGTCATTTTTCAGTGCCATCATCAAGTTAACTCATAGTTCAGAACAGCCCTCCATAAGGAGAGGTTGCAGTAAAGCAACAGGGCTGTTTCACAGCATTGCTAAGGTTTGTTGGCAAATCTGGGTGGTGAAGTTTAAATAATATCCCTCCCTGACTGTAAACAGTATTATCCATCTGTTGTTCTCACAAGCACTAACATTCCTAGTGAACTTCAAAAACACTTGCAGGGAATACCAAAAGGAAAATGTATGATATAGGTTGTTCACCATCTTTAAGGAGCAATAGATGGTAGTGTATAAGGATCATATTATACAATCCCTTCTGCCTTCCTCCCCAAGAGCCCTAGGAATAAAAGCACTTAGATGTTTCAAATAATTTAATTTTAATTCATCTTTCCTAAAAAAAAGGATGTATTGTTTCTAATAGCATAATTAGTATTAGTAATAGTATTAGACCTGTGTTTTGACAGTGATTATAAGAAATGATGTAATAATCAGTTATTTCACTTTAATGATAGCGATAATGCTGGGAACCTATTTTAAAATGTTCAGAGGATTGTTACTACTGGGGAACAACAAAAAAAAAATATTTAGAATTAGCTATATATAGCACACAAGAAATTATAATAAAATACTATGAAACAAATTTGTATTAAGACCTGAGATTTTTTCCTTCATATTTTATAGCTGCATTCAACTGCAACATGAATGATACTTGCCACCAAAGATGCTTCTGCTGTACATTATTCAAGGATTTTTTGTGGCCAAAATATGAATGAAAAGCCAGTGAAGACACACTTTGTAACATGATTTTCTTTGGATGTGCAGGAAGATGTAAGATGACTGGACAGGGTGAAGTTGCAAACCACATTGAATAGAATAGAACTGATGATTCACATTTTAGGAGATGTGGAATTTTTTTCAAGCTGTATTGGCAAGGTTGTTGTATGTCTATTTTTAGGAGACCACATACCTGCAGTCATGTTTCATGGGGAAGAAAAGAAATATGCAGTTGCCTTTGATTAAGGGAAAATGCAAACGCATCTTTAAATGATGTTTATCAACTTTAAATCGTGCTTTAAAAACAACTAACATTTTCAATTTATGGTTTTACACTTATCTGATTTATTTCAATATTTATGGCATCTATCTTCTTAAATTATTATCACTTTCATAAAGATGTCATCATATTTTCAGTGTAGCTGGACTATGTTACTTTTGACCTTTAAGAAAAAAGTAAATTACTAAAATAAAATCTAGATGCCAGAACAAAACCCATGCAGATAAAAATTAAACATGGTGACGTTCTTTTGTTTGTTTTCACAATTGTTGGTTGATATTGACTAGCAAGCACTTCCTTATGTGCAGAATCTTTATGATTTTCATACAATACTAAGCACATGAAAGTTGAATGTTGATATCTCTCTTAATAATTAGATAACAAATTCTGCTAGCTTGGAAAGCATGATAGAAATAAAGTTAATCTGAAGCAGTATTTATCTAAAGTTAGAAAGTATAGTGCAGCCTAGCACTCCCATGCTAATATTTTGCTACCACAAGGTCCATTCTTCCAATTTCTATGAAAAAACAGATTCTTGGTGCAGGGTGACACAAAAGATCTTGTTGAATGAAGACCAGGGTAGTAATTTTAAGAGTTGCGCTGTACGATGAGCTGGCTGCTGACACTCGGCTTTGCTCATACAGATTCATGTTGATTTGCAGAATAGCTGGACTTGACTTGAATGTGTAATGCAAGTCATCCCCTTTTTAGAAGTTATGTAGTTAAAAGGCCTTTACAAAAGCCTTACTGTTTTGGTAGCCTTTTTATCAGTGAGCTCTCTCTGTCAAACAGCAGCATGTGCAGTGCACTAAGTTCCAAGTTAATATTTTTTCTTAGTTTAAAAGGCAGTGAGTGTTAAGCACATGCTTAAAATTAATTGTGTGTGTGAATGCTTTTCTCATCTGGACAATGAAATATTTTTTCAGCCGATGAATGTCAGCAGTGAATTAGTTTTTCTCTCTACTTAAGCATTTGAATAATAAGAGTTAGGTCATCTCCATCTTATATGTGTGTCTGTAAATTTCCTTTCTTTTCACTACTTCTTTAATTGAAATAGTGGATTATGGGAGATGATTGACAAGTTTGACCAATAGGTCTGGGAATGAGATCATAAATTCTGAGTGCACTTAGAACAATTTTCTAATCCCTTAACATATGAACCACTTCTCTTAGACAATCTCTAGATACTAGAGTAAGTGTAATTTTACACAACCCAAATGTTTTGCAGGATCGTTAACCAGTCGATTTTTCTTGTATTAAGAGCGGTAGCAAAATAATTTCCATAAAAACTTCACACATTTTTCATTTAGGCCAAATCCCATGAAACATTACGGGTTTGCAAGGACATTTACTTTTTTTTTTTTTGTTCCTACATTTAGGAAACTATAGTTACACTGCTTATCTTGTTAAGAACAGTAACTGGAAGGGAGCTGCAGCTAGTAAGAGTGTTCTCCCTGGGATGGACAAAACCCTCCGAGATAGCAAGGAGAGTCTTTCTGAGTGCTCCCTTCCCTTTGCAGACTGTTGTGCAATCCACCTGTGGCAGGTTGCTTCCTAGCAAGATGCTATGGGAGATAATCTTCCCTTTTTTGATCCCTGGCAAAAGGTCCTCAAGTACTTGAATAGTACAAAAAACGATACCTGCGTGGAGATACGAGGTTGCGCTGATCTAGGCATATAAGATCCCTATATTAATCATGTTGAAATGGCCACAAAGGAGTTCTTGGAAAGTTCAACTATGCAGGTATAGGATACATATTCTGGTATTTGTTAAGTGGTACAGATTTGTTGAGGACTCCCAGTGACTACAGTAACAACACAAGGAGAAAACAGGAGATTCCATAAGTAGGGATTGCATTTGTCCTGAAGGAACCCAGTTTCTGGATTCTGTGCAACTAACCCTGTTTTAAGTATGTTTTTGTCTGGAGTGCATAAACCCCTTGGTCTGTACTTCCGTGGAATGCTTTTTCTTATGTAATACTTGGTATTTTTGGGTTTTGTAAGGGTGTCTTGAGAACAAAATGTGTGATTAGGATAGGACCTTCCATTTCAAATTGTTCCAGTAGTTTGACAGTAGCGATTTGATAAACCTCAGAAGAATTTCTTTTCTTATCAGTAGACTTAGAATCTGGGTGTGCACATTTCTTACTGCTTTCTTCATGCTTCTTATTACTCTAATTTACATGTATTTCCCCATCAGTACATATTGTACTATGTAGGGGACACATTTTGAAAATAGTACTATCACATTTCTTTAGAGAAATGAGGAAGGGTATGCGTGTACTAACATTTTTTCAAATAAAGAAGTATAAAGGAAGGAAATTTCATTAAATGTAGTTCACAAATTCTCAGACAGGTTTGCAGGCCAGCTGAGTCTTGTTGAAGAGTCTTTCCAGTTAATTTCAGATGGTGAGTGGGCCAGGAGAGATTTCTAGTGCTTAAACAAACAATTTTAAGTTACTTTTGAGGGGGGTGAAAAGCAAGTTGAAAGGAAGTAATTCAACCCTGGTTTGAAATGGAAATCACAGTAACATGTCTGAAAAACCTCTTTTTTTCCCTTCTGTCCTCGTTTATGTATTTTAGAGTAGAATTAGACTGGATTAGGTTTGGGGCCCGCTTGTATTTCCTTATCCTTAAAATTGATTACATTCTAGTGACTGAAAAATATAGCAATACTGACAGCCTTTCTTCTCAGGGCGAGGTAGATATCAACCAGCTGGTGTAGACAGAGTTATGAATCTCACCAAAACAAAACCTATTTCAGAACAGCAGCTTCTAGGCTGTTTCTCTGTTACAAACAAGAAAAGCTGGGGCCTCCAGTCACATTATTTTTAGCTGATTAATTCTGGATATGAAGGTATATGTCTCCAGGGCACAGAGCACTCCAGTAAGGAGAAGCATGCTTTCAACTCCCTTGACTCCTTTGATATGGACTCTAGGAGGTAATACATTTTCAGACCTGTTCTGAAGTAGGTTTATGAGTTCATATTGACAGATTTTTCTTGTATTAGCGGCAGAGCGCAAGCAGCGCTCTACACATTTAAGTGCTCATCAAGTTCAGATTCACTTCAGTGTAAACATTAAGACTGACCCTACCATGAGAGTATCTGAGGAAATTACTACATCTGTTTATTGACCACGGTGCTGAAGGATGTTCTTTGCCCAGGAAAGATGGTGACAGTCCATCAATGTGAATATAATTATACAGCTAATATAGTGATACAGTTGATATAGGCTCCAGAGTGCCAGGACTTGAACCAAGGTTTCCTGGTGTGCTGTCCGAAGGAACATCCTTCTGTTATTCTTTAAATTATATGAAACTCCTGAATTGAATGACTGGGTTGGGTGTATTCTTGGAATGTTAGTATTTTGTTTCCCCTGGTAATTG